GCAGCACGGGGGGACAGCTTGTCCGCAGACAAGTCGCGGACAAACGCCCGAGATCCCCAGACACGGAACGCAGACGCATCGCCGACCTTCCCCGTCCACAGTAACACTGGGGACATCGCGGGCCGAGAGACCCTGGGGTGAAGGTTGAGCTGATGCGCCGCGTACCGAACCGCAAACGGCCACAGAAAGTGGGGGGCAGCCGCATGCATCATGGACGTACGAGCGACATCCATGACCATGCCAATGCGGCGCTCAGCAATCCCATTTTGCTGTGGAGAGTCCGGAAGCGTAAAGGTCTGGCGGATCCCCTGTGCACGACAGTAGGCTCGCAGAAGGCGAGAGGAGAACTCCCCACCGCGGTCAGAGTGCAGACGCAGAACAGGAAAGTCCGAGCCGAAGCTCCTCCTGAGCTGGAGACGAGCCTCGCGGATCCAGTCGATCAGCACCTCAGTGACAGCACCCTTGCTGCGCAAGGGGAAGACTGAGGTGTAACGCGAGTAGTCGTCAACCACCAACAGGAAGTAGCGCTCGTGACCCTGCCCACGGACGGGGGCCGGGCCCCACACGTCCATGTGAAGCGTCTGCAGAGGAGCCTCTGTCGGGGGAAACTGGGAGGAGTGAGGAGCAGCCCTGAGGCGCCCCTCAACACAGGGGGCACAGGAAGGTCCTGGTCCCGAAGGAAGGGGAGGGAGAGACTGGGGAAGACCAGAGACAAGGACACGGGAAGCCATGCCCCGAAGACGGGGCAAGGAGGGGTGGCCTAGACGGTGGTGCCACAGAAGAGTCTCGTGAGACAGGAGGCGACACGAACAGGGGGCAGACTCAGGACCAGACCTGGACGCAGCAGCTAACACCTGACCCGACGCTGCTACCTGACCGGACGCGGGGACAGGAGGAGACTCAGTGGTCAGGGTGTAGAGGCTCGACCCCGGCCGACGCGAGAACGTGGCCAGGTGCCGGCCTGTGCGTGCGTCCGTGCAGTGGGTCACCCGCTGACTCGCAGGAGTGAACTGGTGAACCCCCGCATCCTGTAGGTCTGCACCACTCACCAAGTTCGTCGAGAACGAGGGGAGGTACAGGCCAGACAGGGTGCCCGAGGGGGCAGCCGGACACGGGAGGACAGTGGAAAAGTGAGCGAGGACAGGACCCCCAGAGGGGTCAGCCAGGGAGACTGCAACCGGCCGACCAAGCGGCGTGAGTGTGGTGCGGTCCCGAAAGAAGGAGCGAGAAGCCCCAGAGTCAAGTGTAAAGGTGAGGGAGGCCGAAGCCAACGCGGTACCTGAGAGCGCAGCCTCACCCGCACCTGAGGAAGCAGACTCACTAGCACCTAGAGCAGCAGCCGCACCTGTACCTGGAGCAGGAGACTCACGAGCACCCAGAGCAGCAGCCTCACCAGTAGCTAGAGCAGCAGGTCCTATACCTGGGTCAGGCGGGACGCACAGGTGACCGGCACGGTCAGCACTAGTAGGCAATGCATACATGGCAGTGAGAATAGCATCATAGTCAAGAGCATATATATCGACCCTCTGCCTAAGCAACTCCACCCAGTCGGGAAGCTCAGCCTCGTCGCCAAACACGGTACGCCAGGCGTCGCTCAGACGGGCGAAGCAGCGGGACGGTGTATGACTACGTGTCCCACAAGGCTGACCAGTCCGAGTACCAGTGCGTATCACGTAAGAGCAGCGAACAGCACTGAGAGACCCTCCACTCTGAGCGTACCACTCACGAAGCTGGCGAGGCGTGAGAGACACGCGAGAGGGTCGCGGGAGCTGCATCTGGCCGCCACCACGAGTAGAAGCAGCAGGAGTGGTAGTAGGAGTAGCGCCGCCACCCCTACAGCCCCAACCAGCGTACCACTCACGCAGCTGCTGGGGCGTGAGGGACTCACGCAGGCGTCGCTGGGGCTGCATCTGGCTCCGCAAGTAGAAGCAGGAGCAGGACTAGCAGCAGGAAGGCAGGCAGCCAGGCAAGCCAAAAGGCAGGCAGGCAGGCAAGCAGGCGACGCGCAGCGTGCTAGCAGGGCAAGAGCTCACCAGTGGTGGGAAGAGTAGGCTCGGCGACTCAGCGGCTCGGCAGCTCGGCGGCTCGGCGGCTCGGGCGACAAGGCGGCTGGACAGCAACTGCAGCTCAGCAGCTCGGTGACTCGGCGGCTCGGCGGCAGGGCGGCTCGGCAGCAACTGCAGCTCAGCAGCTCAGCGACCCGGCGGCTCGGCGGCAGGGCGGCTCGGCTGCTGGGCGGCTCGGGTGCAGGGCGGCTCGGCGGTGGGGCGGCTCGGCTGCTGCAGGTGAGCGGCTCGGCTGCTGCAGTGGGAGATGAAGGAGGAGGAGAAGCAGGGGAGGCCACACACCTGACACCCCTCTGCTGCGGCCCCCGCGCGCGGCGGGGCTGCGAAGGAGCCGGGGCGGGGCCGCGTGAGAGCAGGCGGCGGGGCCGAGTAAGAGCCTGGGCGGGGCCGCGACAAAGCCGTCGGCGGGGCCGCGTGAAAGTCGGGGCGGGGCCGCGTAGAAGCCGGGGCGGGGCCGCGCGAGAGCAGGCGGCGGGGTCGCGAAGGAGCCGGGGCGGGGCCGCGTGAGAGCAGGCGGCGGGGCCGCGTAAAGGCCGGGGCGGGGCCGCGACAGAGCCGGCGGCGGGGCCGCGTGAAAGCCGGCGACGGGGCCGCGTAAGGGCCGGCGGCGGGGTCGCGTCAGTGAAGGCGGCGGGGCCGCAGGGGAAATGGCGACCCGAGGGGTCGCTAAAAAAAATCGCGCCTCGGGGGGCGCTTCGGTGGGCCCAAAAAAACGGTCCTTAGAAGGACCCGCTCTATACCATGTGAGAATAAGCAAACAGGAATGAAATGACTAAGTCAGGGTTGGGTACAAATACAACCCTAGAAAGCTGTACCCCATATGTGCTACCCCACTATAGCCTACAAACATGCATCAGCTATAGTAATCTGACATACGATTCTTAACAAGTTGCTCCCTAAGACAAGATGTTATGCGATTGTCTAGCCCCATACTTCTACCTCCTCGTAGAAGCCGAGTATTAAACGTAGATTAAGTGTCGTAGAAGGCCGTCCTGCCGTCAATTATTTTATTCGGCTGGCCCTCCCTTTGATGGCGAGTTCTATCGGCTGCATTGCTAGCTCCATACGCGCCCTACAAATTTCGCGAGTGTAGTGAAGGTTTGCATAGCAAAAATACATCTCTCATTGTATTGTATACAACAACACCTATATTTATACACGGTGAAAAAATAAACGGAAAGGAAAATCTATTTCTACTACGGTACTAACAAGACCTCCAAAGAACCCGTCTGCCTCTATCACTCCTGGCCGCCAGTGCCGGTGTTCTCCTCCGTCGACGCATCCTTCGTCGCGTTCTTTTTCGCGGACGATTTCTTGGTTTTCTTCTCCTTATCCGCCCCTGTTGTGGTATCCTGGCCGCCCAGCTTCTTCTGCAGGACTCCGAGGCAGACGCCCTGGTGCTGGCGAAGGCCTCTTGATGCCATGCTGCATAGGCACCAAGAGGTCACCACCTTTGCCACCACCCTCGTCATCCGCTTCGTATCCCCGGCCGCTCGCGACTCTGCTGGAAGCGCTTTGAGCAGCGCATCTGACAGGGGCAGAATCCACGCTTCCTTGTCATGCTCCTGATCCTTGACCGACCTCATCGCCTCAACCACGACGCAAGCAACCGAGGCTGCAAGCTTCGCAAGGGCATCGAGGACGGCAGAGGACACATCGGCCGCAGAAGATGACGAGGCAGCCGACGAGGCGGTGGTAGCAGTGGACGATCTAGCAGCAGAAGATGCTATGGCCGTAGAAGTTCCACGTGCAGCTGTTGTTGCGCCCGTCTCCCACTGGGTCTGGTCCACATTTGTGGATGCGGCCCACATTACAGACAACGTGGCAGCAAGTCCGACTGCGTGTTCTTCCGTCGAATAGCCGTTTTCACCCTCCACGCCTCCCACCATCTTCTGCCACGCAGTTATTCCGACACCAACGCAGGCAGCTACCTGAAAGCCATCCCTCAGCTGCTGCCAAAGAGCCATGTTGGTTTGAACGAGTGAGAATCTGCACAAGACACCAGTGTCGCAAGATCAGAACCATCGAACTTCGCGGGTGTTTAGAAGTTGCAACTGTCCATCACATAAACACTCACCCGTCCGGTTTGTCCAAGTGGAGTTCGTTGATGATGCTCCACACCCCTGTTGGAAGCCACGTTGTGAAGTCGAGGTCTTCCCGCCACTTATTAATACGGTTTGGATTCATGTCGTATGCCTGCATGTCAATATCCGGGAAGTAGAACTTCCAGCAGACTGCGACCGTGTATGCCCTCTCCCACACCGTTTTGTGAGAGCCGAGGTTCCGCTTCCGGCTGCCGACGGTTTGCTCAGACGTCCACTTCTGCAAAGCTCCCTCGCCCCGTTGAGAGAACCCGCTTCCCCTGAACGGCAGGCAGACACCCAAAGTCTTACCTATGTCGTCCACTACGGCGTTTTTCCTGTTGTCACACTTGTCGATCTTCATCCCTTTCTTTTCCCCTGGGATTATCGGTATCAACTCCTGTATACCAGATGCACGCCATCTCTTAGCCGCATGACCCTCCGGCTCCCTGTCCTCCTGTCTAGGCCGCCTCCTGGACACCTCTACGTTCTGTCCGGGAACAATAGCCACGCCCTCTGCTACATTCGCCTCCCCGCTCTCAATCAACAGCAAACTCCCCAGGCCCTCAGCTATTTCCTCCTCGACTCCCTTCCAGGTCCCCTCCCCCTGCATGGTCAAATCCTCCTCTTCCATCTCCCTTGCCAATCGTTCCGTCTCTTCAGCCATCGCCTTTGCCTTTGCCTCCAGTTGCCGCTGCTGTTCCGCGTAGGATGCAAGTCTGGCCCTCTTCTCTGCTCGGCACTGCTCCGCCTTCTGCAGGCGCTCCATCTCCTGTTGTTTTGCCCTCTGCCGCCGCTCGGCCTCCTCTGCCTCCTTCTTCTCCGCCTCCACCTTCTGCAGGCGCTCCATCTCCTACTGTTTCGCCCGCTGCTGCCGCTCGGCCTCCTCTGCCTCCTTCTGCGCCTCCTCCTTCTGCAGGCGCTCCATCTCCTGCTGTTTCGCTCGCTGCTGCCGTTCGGCCTCCTCTGCCTCCTTCTTCTGCGCCTCCTCCTTCTGCAGGCACTCCATCTCCTGCTGTTTCGCCCGCTGCTGCCGCTCGGCCTCCTCTGCCTCCTTCTTCTGCGCCTCCTCCTTCTGCAGGCGGTCCAATTCCTGTTGTTTCGCCCTCTGACGCCGCTCTACCTCCTCTGCCTCCTTCCTCTGCCTCTCCTCCTTCTGCAGGCGTGCCATCTCCTGCTGTTTTTCCCTCTCCTGCCTCTCGGCCTCCTCTGCATCTTTCCGCTGCGCCTCCTCCTTCTGCAGGCGCGCCATTGCCTGCTGTTTCTCCCTCTCCACCCGCTCTGCTTCCTCTGCCTCCTTCCTCTGCGCCTCCTCATTTCGCTGGTGCTCCTTCTCCTGTTGTTTCTCCCTTTCCTCCCGATCGTCCTCCTCAGCCTCCTTCCTCTGCGCATCCTCCTTCTGTCGCCGATCTCCCTCCGTTGCCTTCCTACCCTGCTCCTCCTTTTGCCGTAGCTCTGCGTCCAATCTCAGAACTACTGACAGCCGCTTTTCCACCTCACTTAGCATCCCCTCCTTCCACCCCTTCATCCCCGTCTTCATCTCCTTCACAGCCTCCATCACTTCCTTCATTCCCGCCTCCACTTCCTTCTGCCGTCGCTCTTCCTCCTGATGTTTCTTCTTCCTCCGCCGCTCTGTGGCCTCTACATCCTTCCTCTTCTCCTCCTCCTCCTTCCGCCATTGCTCGTCCAGTTGTTTCTTCTTCTGTCTCTCCTCGTCGTCCGCCACTTGTTTCCTCTTCGCGTCCTGCTGTTGTCGCCGCTCCGCGTCCTCTTGCCTCGCCTTCTTCTGCCGCTCGAATTCTTCTCGCAAAACCGCGCTCAACCTCCCCACAATCTGGTTTACCATCCCATCCTTCATCTCCTTCATTTCTGCCTTCATGTCCTTCATCGTCACCTCCTTCATCTCCTTCATTCCCTCTCTCATCTCCTTCTGCCGACGCTCTTCCTCCTGCTGTTGTTCCTTCTTCCGTCTCTCTGCGGCGTCTGCTTCCTTCCTCGTGGCCTTCTGCCTCCGCTCCTCGTCCTGCAGTCTATCCCTGTTCCGCCGCTCAGAGTCTTCTCTCAGAACCTCTCTCAACCTCTCTTCCACCCCCTTTAACGTGCCCTCCGCCATCCCCCCTCCCGACTGGCGAACCTGATCACTCATCCTTATGATACTCTCCTGCAAGTTGGAGAGTCTCGTGTCCACCTGCTCGCGAAACCTGGCCGTCGTTTCAGCTTAGCGTCGCCGTTCCTCGTTTCCATGGCGGACTTCTTCCAGGTTGGCCAGGGCGTCGCGGCAGTAATGGACGGTCAGATCGGCCACGTCGCGACTGATGCTGCTGTTGCAGGCCGCCAAGTTGCATAACGTCTGCGTCACCATTCGGGCTAAGAGCGTCAGACGACGCGTTACCTCTGCCACGCTTATGTCCCAGCTTTCGGCCTTGACGAACCTGTCACCTTGTTCGACCAGGACTGTACTCGTCCGATGCAGCATCCGCCGTATTGCCGTCTCTGCCTCGACCCACTCTACCTGCCAAAACGCTTTTGCCACCCCGCCTTGGCCGAGATCCCTCTCCACTGCTCTCTGGTGAAGGGTAGGCCGCCTCTGGCTGTTGAGATCCACTGTATCCCTAGGCGCCCCATCGTCTGCCACCCTCCATGGCCCCTCTACCCTGCTTCCTGGTCCCCGCGTCGGACTTCCTCCCAAAAATATCCGGACTGCCGGATGTACCGTATCCTCCTCATTCTGCTCCTCTTCTGTTTCCAGCGCATCTCCCTCGTAGTGCCCCACTCCAGCCTCCGGGACCACACGAACCTCCTCCATAGTATTTTGACGCTCTGTCTCTGCCATGCTCTACGTCTCTCGGTATGCGAATACCTGCGACGCTGCCTCCTCGTCATGCTGCCCCTCTTCCTCTGCGATGATGTGCCCCTCAGCACCCGCCGTCTCCCGTCCCTCTGTCTGTATCATTTTATTCCCATCTGAACCCTCCTCTCCATCTGGCTTCCTACGTCCGTTAGCCTCAGCCTGCTTCTGCTCCTCGGCCTCTGCCATCTTCTACGCCTCACCCTCCGCCTTCTGCCGCGCCTCTACAACACCCTTCTTCCGCGCTTCTGCCCGAGCCAGTTGTAGTGCCTCTTCCGCAGCCTGTTTCTGCTCCTCTGCCTCCGCCTTCTGCCGCGCCGCTGCTTCTGCCTTATTCCGAGCCTCTCCTTCCTTATGTGCGTCTGCCTCCTCCATATGTAGCGCCGCTGCCTTATCCTTCTGCCTCGCCGCTGCCTCTGATTCCTTGTGCGCCTCTGCCTCAACCATCTTCGGCGCCGCACCCTCCTCCTTCTGCCTCGCCACTGCCTCTGATTCCTTGTGCGCCTCTGCCTCAACCATCTTCGGCGCCGCACCCTCCTCCTTCTGCTGTGCCGCTGCCTCTGATTCCTTCTGCGCCTCTGCCTCAACCATCTTCGGCGCCGCACCCTCCTCCTTCTGCTGCGCCGCTGCCTCTGATTCCTTCTGCGCCTCTGCCTCAACCATCTTCGGCGCCGCACCCTCCTCCTTCTGCTGCGCCGCTGCCTCTGATTCCTTCTGCGCCTCTGCCTCAACCATCCTGGGCGCCGCACCCTCATCCTTCTGCTGCGCTGCTGCCGCTGATTCCTTATGTGCGTCTACCTCGTCATTCTACTGCGCCGCTGCCTCATCCTTCTGGCTCGCCGTTGCCTCTGATTCCTTCTGCGCCACTGCCTCCACCACCTGCAGCTCGACTAACTCCAACGTCAGCTCTGCTGCTGCACCCGCTTCTTTACGCGCGACTGCCTCCGCACTCTTGACCGCCTCTGCACCCACCTTCTGCTGCGCCGCAGCCTCTGCTTCCTTTGGTGCCCCGTCCTCTGCCGTAAGTGCCGCCTCTGCATCGACGAACCGATGGGCCGCATCCTCTGCATTCTGGTGCGCCTCTACCTCCGCCATCTTATGAGTCTTTGCACCCGCGTTGCTCTGCGCCTTCTTTTTCGCCTCTCCCAAATTCTCTGGCACGTCGACGTCCCCTCTCCGGGCCTCTTCAGCTGCCTTCCGCTTTACGCTGGGCAAGCGAACTTTCACGTATCCCCTATCCTCCTCGATATGCTGCCGCACATTGCTGGCGAGCTCCTCTCCTGCCTCTCCCACGTGTGCCCTTGCAGCGGCTCGTGCCCCACGCTCCCATGCTTCACGTATGTCTCCAGTTCCCGGGAAAGAGACGGTAGGATCGGTGTCGCCATCACGGCGCCGTTGCCTCTCTTCAGCCCGTCTCCTCTTGGCTTCTGCTTCGGCCATCCGCTTATCATCAGCCGCCTTCCTCCACTGCTCCTCTGCCTGTTCGACCTGACTTGGCAACTGTGGATCTTCTACACCCTCCTCGCCTTCATCTGCTACACTTGCCAAGTCGGTCTCCGTCCGTGTTTCGCGTTCTGGCGGCCTCCTAACCCGATCAGCAAACCTGAGCTGCCTAACTCCAGACCTAACACGCTCGTCCGCACGGGCTGACCTTGATGTCGGGCCACTCAGTAGTGCACCCGGTGCAGGTCGTCGGGAATATGAAATTTCCCCTACTCTTGGATTTGCGTCCCGGTTTGCGGCAGGTACGTCTCTCTGTCCCTCTACCGCTTCGGATCTGTTCTGTGCCGCCGGCTCCATGGTATTTCCGGACCGTTCCGGTGCACTCTCCACCACTCGAGCCTCATGGGTCGTCATGACAGCATCCTGGGCGGGATGGAGCTGGACTCCTTGCAGGTCGAAGAAGGCCCTGCAGGTCGACTCCAGCATACTCCGAATTTCTTTCGCACTGTTTTTCCCCTTCCCTAAGGCGATCATAGGCTGTGCAGATTGAATCGCCATGACATCCCCCCATTTGTCCAGCAACTTGCTGAACAGATGGGTAACGTGCAGCCCGGAACCCACTTGCCTCTGTCCCTGAACCTTGTTGATCTGCAACATGTGCGTGAAAAGGTGGTTGTCAGACACTCCCGTAACTTTTTACAAGCTTAATATCATACAACGCTTAAATCATAAAAATAGAGGCTCCTTACCCTGCCTTCCTCCAGAATCAGTTCCTCTAGGCGATCCCTCAAATCTTTCTGCACCGCTTCGGCATGGCTGCCAGAGACCCTGCGACCTCGGCTGTATTCCACATCTAGTTGTCGAATAAGCCAGTTGCAGGGCAAGGGTGTCGCAAATAATCAATAACATGCGTCCATACAAACCGCACATCTGATTAAGGAGTGACACTTACTCGAACACCTCCTTGGCATGGTCGCTATGGCGATGGGTTGGGATTGGAGATTTAGGGTCGAATTGTAGCACACGCGTACGGTACTCTCCGCGGGGATGTGCTAACAAATCTTGCGGGTTCATCAGCACCATGAGACTGATCGTCGTCGAGTGAACAACAGGGACTCTGCGGTACATCGCAGTTTGGATTAGCAAGATAAGCTGGTGTCATCCACACACGTTGCGGATCCATGTCAAGAAACTCACTCTGATATCATGGGTATTAAAACCATCTGGTAGTCCAACAGCGGCCGATGTTCGCTGCCACAACTGTGGACACGCGGGACGGCAGACCTCAAACGCGGATGCTCGGTAGGAGCCAAAATCTTTGTCCCTGCGAACGCGAGGATCCCCGATCTTGTCCTTGGCAACCTCCCTGCATCCAAGCCGACATGTCGCAGAGGTAAGAAGATAGCAGGTGCGTGTCTAAAAATACAAGGGTTTAACGTGCCGATGAAGTCGGCGTGCGTTACAAACCGCGCTTGGATACATACACAAGGCCGAAAAGTAACAACGCCTCGTTCCACTCTTCCTGACGAGCGGCTAACATTTCATAAGACTCCCACCCTAGTCGTACAGATAATCCACAGCCATCTGTGATTAACTGGGACGACATCGCGTAAGTATGCCAGAAGATGGCAGGTAGCTATATGGTTACTACCATACACTGTCCGCCTGCAGGATTTGAGGCCGACACTAGAATGAGAGGGAAGCTTGTGAGGAGGCTAGTTGTGGAACCAAGACTCAGATTGGAATGGCGAGAATGACCTTGAGCTTTGGTGCACCCACCCTGATAACAACTTCTGCTTCACTGGTAGAATTGGTTGTGTTCTCGTCCTCACAGAAGGTGGGAAAGGCTTTGCTACAAACGCCAGGCGTAGTAAGACTTTTCTGCCCCCTACATCAAAATATTAGGCTTCTCACCATTTCCCTCCGAACATCTGCGAACTACTCTTTGCATCCTTCTGCAGCGATTGGCCTATTTGTCGCCAGATTGTTCTCCTAAATGTTCTATTTCAGTTGCTGGTTGGTTGATTGCCAACCTTATATGCCATTTAAGCATATTGCATGTTCTGCGGTGCATTGCATGGTCTCAGCTTAGCCTCGACCTAGTACGAAATGGTGACGGGCAGCCCCTAAAAAAAAAGAAAGGTGTCATGTGACAGGTTCATGACAGGCTGCCACGTATAACTATCCCATCCGCATGGTTCCCTCCGCAAAGTGGAAATAGAGCAGTCTCTGCGACCTATCACACATGTCAGAAACCGAATGACCGTGTACATCCCACAGTACCGCTATAGGGGTACTCGCGTAGCACGTATAGTGCTAGTTTTTGTAACCCATAAAACAAACACAAGCATGAACTTTGCATGATTAGCACACCCAATTCTAAAACGGATAATCCTATAAGTGTGAGATGAGTGCCCTATCAATAAGGGCTCATTAGCACCCGTATAACAATGGCATTCAAATACAAAACAAATGTTGTACATTTCAACAAAGTGATATGCTCCCGCCTGCAGAGAAGAGCATGAAAAACATATCAAACCTCTGCGAAATGAGGTGAATTTCATAGGGGAGTCTGAAATATGTGTGATGAGAGTCCCCTATGAAAATCAGATCATTTGCCCAAGGATAAGTGGGTGATTTCAATTGCAACCTGATTCCAAGCAATTCTGCACAGAATTCTGCAGACTGCTGCACAACAAGGCTTAAAAACCATATCAAACCTTGGGAAAATGAGGTGAATTTCAGAGGGGAGTCTGGAATATGTGTTTTGAGAGTCCCCTATAAAAATCAGCTCATTTTCTCAAGGATAAATGGGTGATTTCAGTTGCAACCTGATTCCAGGCAATTCTGCACAGAATTCTGCAGACTGCTGCACAACAAGGCTCAAAAACCATACCAAACCTTAGGAAAATGAGATAAATTTCAGAGGGGAGTCTGGAATATGTGTTTTGAGAGTCCCCTATAAAAATAAGCTCATTTGCCCAAGGAGAAGTGGGTGATTTCAATTGCAACCTGATTCCAGGCAATTCTGCACAGAATTCTGCAGACTGCTGCACAACAAGGCATAAAAACCATACCAAACCTTGGGCAAATGAGGTGAATTTCAGAGGAGATTCTGGAATATGTGTTTTGAGAGTCCCCTATGTCAGAATCCCAACCACTAGACCATTGGGATAATAGGGCTTGTTTCAGTAGCGGGTCAGTGCGCCCATAACCCCCCAGGCGAACGCGCCTGTAACCTTCTCCAGGATCAATCGGGCATCCACAGTGCAGATCTACTGACACCCCCCCACACTGGGAGGCCCAGGACTAAGCACAGCGGCAACGGCCTATATGTGCATACACCGGGAATCGAACCCGAGACCGCTCTGATACCATGTCAGAATCCCAACCACTAGACCATTGGGATAATAGGGCTTGTTTCAGTAGCGGGTCAGTGCGCCCATAACCCCCCAGGCGAACGCGCCTGTAACCCTCTCCAGGATCAATCGGGCATCCACAGTGCAGATCTACTGACACCCTATAAAAGTCAGCTCATTTGCCCAATGATAAGTGGGTGATTTTAGTTGCAACCTGATTCAAGGCAATTCTGCACAGAATTCTGCAGACTGCTGCACAACAAGGCTTACAAACCATAACAAACCTTGGGCAAATAAGATGAATTTCAGAGGGGATTCTGGAATATGTGTGATGAGAGTTCCCTATAAAAATCAGCTCATTTGCCCAAGGATAAGTGGGTGATTTCAGTTGCAACCTGATTCAAGGCAATTCTGCACAGAATTCTGCAGACTGCTGCACAACAAGGCTTACAAACCATATCAAACCTTGGGCAAATACGATGAATTTCAGAAGGGATTCTGGAATATGTGAGACGAGAGTTCCCTATAAAAATCAGCTCATTTTCCCAAGGTTAAGTGGGTGATTTCAGTTGCAACCTGATTCAAGGCAATTCTGCACAGAATTCTGCAGACTGCTGCACAACAAGGCTTAAAAACCATATCAAACCTTGGGCAAATAAGATTAATTTCAGAGGGGAGTCTGGAATATATGTGATCAGAGTCCCCTATAAAAATCAGCTCATTTGTCTAGGGATAAGTGGGTGATTTCAGTTGCAACCTGATTCAAGGCAATTTTGCACAGAATTCTGCAGACTGCTGCACAACAAGGCTTAAAAACCATATCAAAGCTTGGGCAAATAAGATGAATTTCAGAGGGGGTTCTGGAATATGTGTGACGAGTGTCCCCTATGAAAATCAGATCATTTTCCCAAGGCAAAGTGGTTGATTTCACAAGAAACATGGTTCCAGGCATTTCTGCACAGAATTCTGCACCCGCCTGCAGAATATAACATGAAAAGCATGGCAAACCTTGATGAAATGAAGTGAAAACTGGATGGGGATGAGGACTAGGTGTGATGACAGTGCCCTATCAAAATGGGCTCATTTGCCCAAGGAGAAGTGGGTGATTTCACCTGACACATCACACCAGGCAACTCAGCACTAACTTCATTGCAAGAAAAGTCCACCAAATCAGTCTGCATAGAGCTGAAAATGTTCAGGGGGGCTGGAACAGGTGTCATAACACTAAAAATGCAAAAAAATATGGTCACCACATAACACATGTGTGTGATGCCCAGAGAATGACTTTACACATGTGCTATGAGCAACCTTAGTTGACCCAAAAGTGACAAAATGTAACAAATTTGACAAAATAACAAACTCATGCCCGCTGGTAGGGGACATCAAGGAGATGCTGGAAATCCATATTTTTGTGCAAATGACCAACAAATTATGGAGTTATGAGCTAAACCATATAGAATTTAGACTTAGCCATTTTGACATTCTGCTTGTCAGAATTACACCAAAGTGTCAACAACAAAGTTTATATACAAATACTGTAGAACAGTGGTTGCGACGTCGCTTTCGTGCGACCGTCGATAATCCAAACCGGTAGTGTAACCACTCTTGCGCCCATTTCGTTGCACCATCAGGTGGTTTGGATTTTGTAAGGTCCAACACCCTTTTGCGCCGAATCCGAGTCAAATCGTCTCGCCACGGGCAAAATGGAGTTTCGAAAAAAAAAAAATGAATCCCGGTCGAAGCAGAGGATCTGAGTGCTGCTTCCACCTTTGGCCCGCCCTTCCCCCGTCAGGTGGTTTGGATTTCTAGGGGTCTACCCTTTTCTTCAAGGGGGGGGGGGGGGGGGGGGGGGGGGGGGGGGGCTTCATCGACATCTACGTTTCACGATTCACCGACATCTGACATCGTGTCAGAATTCCCGCCAACATCGCCAGCATTACTACCGTCTGTCTGATTCGCATTCGCTACATCAAGGCTTTCAGTTCAATCGCGGATTCAGTTCGCCTCTACAATCTTGATCGTCAGATCAACATCTGGGAAATTCGACGGCCGACAGTCCAACATTTTTCGAATTCGCATGATCGAAGGGTCAGTCATGCGTCAGCTTGACGGTCAACGCTTTTCTCAAACGTCGGATCCGCCTTCAGCCGAGATCGGCAGTTTTCATGCTACTGCAAGCATCGGCTACGTATAAGAGGACCTTATTTAGAAGGTGGGAGAGTGTAATAAATACACAATTAATGTCAAAATGAGGAATGATGATGCCATTGGTGTTGGTTGGGGTACATATAACAAACCCTAACTTCTGTACCCCCTAAGACAAACCTCACTACAGGCTACAACATTTGACACACCCCCATAGCCTAAGTGAGGGGTGTCTAGCAAAATAAAAAAAAGAGTACGGTCACAAGACCAGTCCAAAAGAAAACAAAGCTCAGGGTGGATCACAACGTCACCACACTCTCTGAGCACAAGCAACAGTGGCCACAAGGCCAGTCCAAGAGATCACAAGTATATATAGCAAGAGTACAGACGAAGCAGGCAATAAACTCAAGCCTACACATGACTAGAACCTGTGTCAACAAGGCCTAACTGCACACAACACCTCTGGTGGTCACGAGGCGGAAGCGCCTTGGTGAAGATGTCTGCAGTGTTGGCCTCGGACTCCACAAACTCGAAGCGACCCTGTCCACGTCTCTGCAACTCTCGCAGAAGAAAGTACCTGACGTGAATGTGCTTCACTCTGCTCTCCAGTCGCGGCTCACGACAGAGGAGGATCGACGCCTTGTTGTCAGTGAACAAGGTTGGTGCAGAGCTCGGCCGCTCACCAAGGTCGGCGAGCACGAAGAAGCAAGACGGAAAAGTCAAGTGGTCTACCGTCAGCGTCGAAACGAAGAACTCGCGGAGTCGCCATAGTGAGAACTAACGCGAACGAACAGGCGAGTAACAACCGGGGAGAAGAGGCAAATTAGGGTTCAGGTGGGAAGGGGACTCAGTCGCAGCGGAAGAGCGGGCTAGGGCGACGGGCCAGGGCGTAGGGTAGGGCGACGGGCTAGGGCGTAGGGTAGGGCGACGGGCCAGGGCGTAGGGTAGGGCGACGGGCCAGGGCGTAGGGTAGGGCGACGGGCCAGGGCGTAGGGTAGGGCGACGGGCCAGGGCGTAGGGTAGGGCGACGGGCCAGGGCGTAAGGTAGGGCGACGGGCCAGGGCGTAGGGTAGGGCGACGGGCCAGGGCGTAGGGTAGGGCGACGGGCCAGGGCGTAGGGTAGGGCGACGGGCCAGGGCGTAGGGTAGGGCGACGGGCCAGGGCGTAGGGACGGGACAGGGCGACGCGACGGGGCAGGGCGGCGCGATGGGGCAGGGTGACGGGACGGGGCAGGGCGACGCGACGGGGCAGGGCGACGCGACGGGGCAGGGTGACGGGACGGGGCAGGGCGACGCGACGGGGCAGGGCGACGGGACGGGGCAGGGCGACGCGACGGGACAGGGCGACGGGACGGGGGGGAAAGGGCGGGCACGACGTGACGGGGGGAACGGGCGCGACGCGACAGGGGGAAAGAGCGCTAGGCGACGGGGGGAAAGGGCGCGACGCGACGGGGGGGGGGGGGGGGGGGAAAGGGCGCTAGGCGACGGGGAGAAAGGGCGCTAAGCGACGGGGGAGAGGGCGCTAGGCTCGGTACTAGGCGCGGTAACAACGGAACCGGTACGAACGAGAGGTAGGATCAGGCTCGGGAGGGACGAACGGAGAACGGAGGAACGGGATCCCACAGGATCCTAACCTAGCTGATACCATGTCAAAATGAGGAATGATGATGCCATTGATGTTGGTTGGGGTACATATAACAAACCCTAACTTCTGTACCCCCTAAGACAAACCTCACTACAGGCTACAACATTTGACAATTAATTACTGTAGGTCTTCCGTTTGCGAGGACAGACCCGAACACTTCACGTCAGTATGGCTCGGCCTTCACTTTCGCCCCAAGACAATTCCAAGTCGCCTTGCACCAATCTCGACACTTCCAAGGCTCGCACATTACGAGATTCTTGCCTAGCACGTGTTCGCCCCTTTAAATGCTCGTTTTCTTCTTTGTTTCATCATTCCGTAATCACATCCTTTTTATAAAGTCTTCCGCGCACTCTGTTCGTCGTGTGTCAGAACAATGTGTCAGAAGGGTCTCAAAGTTGCTGCGACACCGGGTAACCAGCCAGGAAGTCAGGTCGTCCCATCCACGTCAGGCTGCGTCAGCCCTAAGTGCATATCCCCGTGGCACTGTGACTTGCTCCCCAGCAATGCCCAAAACTCAGGTCTAGGCCTCGTCATTGTGCACCCTGCCCAGCCCTAGCCCTCGTCATTACTACTGGCGTGGATTTTCTTACTTGCATCTATTCAAGTCATTCAAAGATGCAAACCTTCCCAAACTTGCTGCAACGAATCGCGTCCGCGCTGCCGGTTTCCGTCGCGATGGACTCGCTTCTTGCCGACGCCGACATTCTGCATAGCGTCGCGCCTCGGCGAGTAGCTCCTCGTACCCCTCAGACTCCGCGCCACCCATCCATTCCCCAAAGATCCAAAGATCGAGGAGAGGCGCGATCCTCTCCTTACAGCCTCCGCAGCATGCCTCTCCACGTCTCGCATCCTACTTTCACCTATAAAGCCACCGCCATGGCTCTCACGAATTCATCAGCTCCAGTCCGCAGCTCTCTGCTCATCTCACTCTCCTCACTGAATAACTCACTTTCAAGTCGACTCGAATATCTGATCAGCCATCACCAACCGCCTTCCATCTCTTCCAACCTCTCTCGCAAGCCCTCATGGCGAGCGCAATCCGCGTGCTGCTGCTGGCGCCGCTGGCGGTGGGGCTGCTGGCGACGGCGGCGAGTGCAGCGAGGGGCGTGATGGGGGGAGCGAGGGGGATGGCCCCTGGGGAGGCAGACAGCAGTGATGGCAGCAGCAGCGCGGGCGGGGCGGGGCAGCAGCGGAAGGGCGTGCGCATTCTAGCGACTGATACTTTTGCTCACCACGCCCCTCTGCCCGGCTATCTCGACCACATCCCACGCCGCCAGGCCCTCGCTACCAGTACGCGCTGCTGCTCCCCTTCCCTCCTGCTCTACCCAAATTGGTCCCTTTGTGCTGCTGCTCCTCTTCCTCCCACTGCTGTCAATGCTTTCCCCTTGCCTCTCATTTCACTTCTCCCCGTGCCTCTCACTTCTTTGCTCCACTTTCCTCCATGTCTCTGCTCCCCTTGACTGCTCCCCTTTCCCCGTGCCTCTCACTTCTTTGCTCCCCTTGCCTCTCATTTCTCTGAATGGTTGAGTCAGGCCCACCGCACCCTCTCTCCCATCCCGCTTTCTTTCTTCCAGTGACCCAGTGTCCAACAGTGACGACCAGATTCCTTAACTTACTATTTTTTCCTTCCTCCCCAACTTTCTCCCTCCCTCCTCTCAGCATGCGGGCGCACGACAGTGACAATTGGAATCCTTGCATTTTTTTGTTTCTTTTCCTGCCCTCTACTCCCTGGCCTGCAGCATGCGGGCGCACAACGGTGACAATCTGGTCACCGTACTTGGGGCCGTACGACCTGCACAACCTAACCCCACTTCTGCCCCCTCCCTCCCGCTTACCCCCAGCCCCAGCCTTCTTCCCCCCTCCTCTCTGTCCAGCGTGTGGGAGCACGAAGGCGATGATCCGGTCGCAGTACCTGGGGCCGTATGACCTGCACAACCTAACTAGCCTGCTTCCCCCCTCCCATCCTTTATCCCTCCCCCAATCCCCCTCTCTCCAGCGTGTGGGCGCTTGACGGCGATGATCCGGCTGCAGTACCTGGGGCCGTCAGCCCAACCTAACCCCACCTCTGGCCCCTTGCTCTCCCATTGTCCCTCCCCCCTTACCCCTTCCACCTCCCCAGCATGTGGGCGCACGAAGGTGACGATCCGCTCGCAGTACCTGGGAACTCACGACCCTGCCCCTTGCCTTTCACCCCCTTCCCTGCCTCCCCTCCCACTTGTGCAGCCTGCGGGCGCACGACGGTGACGATCCGCTCGCAGTACGTGGGGCCGTACGACCTGCACAACGACATCTACAACATGACCTTCTACAACGGCTGCGCCTACAACGTCACCAGCCCGCTGCGCGTGTGGCAGTGCTTCAACTTCGGCAACGTGTGGGAGGGCAGCCTCGACAACCCCGATCCCAACCCCTCGCAGTACCAGACAGGCGACATCTTTGTGCAGTCGTCGCCGGGGTACTGTGAGATGCACATGAACCGCGGTGTGAGCGGCACTCTGCAGATGCTCCCTGGGGAGACGGTCAACATTGTGTATGCATGGACGGGGGACTTCCGCCCCTGCGCGCAGGAGCTGCGCTTCAGCAATGGCAACAGCTACTCCATGACCAACACCACCGACTGCCAGATTGCTGCCGTCATTTGAGTGACCAACACACCCCCCGTGCCAGACTGCGAAAGTTATCTAGACTCTGAAACACAAATAATGCATGTCTGGATTTGGAAATCGGAGAGGGACAGTAGTAGTAGTACGGTAGTGTTCTAGGCATGTGCATGCGCATGTTTAGTACCATTGTATATATTTCCGTGTCATCTTGAGCTCCCATGAGATGGGATGCCTCTGTGTGTTGCGCCTTGCTGGTCCTGCTGCTCTCCACCACTCCTTCCTTCAAAGTGCTGCTCTATATTCAGTGGCTATAGTGTACTCTGCTGCATTCAATTTCCAGGACAGGATGGTGGGGAGAAGGGGAGAGGGGGAGAGGGGAGCCGAGGAGGGCAGGGCAGGGGACATGCTGAGCTGAGCAAATATATTGCACGCATACCGTATGTGGTACCATATGTGTGCGGGTGGGCATGTGTGCTCTCTCATCTGCAAGTGTGTGCTTGTGTGTGAACTCATGCACTCAGAGAAATAAAAAGCCCTTTACAGTAGCTATACAAATAAATTAGCTTTAAACAGGAGGTTCCCAGCCCAGAAAAGCACACCCACCCAACCCAACCCAACCCCACCACCACATCTGCAGTTACTTATTGCAAAACTGACACCCTGACAAGAGACCCTACCGTGAAACATCGGTATAAATCCCAGCAGTTTCGACCCAAGCTCATTCTGTCAAGTCGCAAGGACCTCTCATCTAATGTCACGCCGTCTGCTCCAAGTACTATGGCACGTCTCAGACGCCAGAAAACGAGTGCAGGCAAGTGTGTGGCACCTTGGACCGACCTGCAGATGCAAAGAGAAACTTCCAAGCCAATGCCATGCAATGCAATCATCACCCCTGTCAAAAGCACACCTCCCCCTAAGCCCACCCAAAGCACCTCCAGGCACCTCCCCCTGATCCGCTCAAAGCAGTTCCAGTGAGTCTGGCAAAGCGTGGCGTGCAGCGCAGCTGCGTCTGGTCTGTCAGCGTTTGAGGCATGAACCCTATCTAGGGTCACTGATTCAGGAGCCTCAAAAGACATGCGGCTGCTTTATGTCTGTCACCGTAAATCCATCCCCAACCAGTTAAGGCCAACTTCTGAGGCATGCAGCTGCTGCTTGTCTGTCAGCTTCAGCGTGAACCCATCTCCAAGTGGTCAAGGCGGACTATTTTCCCCAAGACATGCAGTATTCATCATCCCTGCGCCCCTCCGAAACCCTCCAGTTAAGCCTGCCCAAATCAGCTTCAGCGTGAACCCATCCCCAAACAGTCAAGACCAACTGTTTCTCTCCAAGCCCATGCAGTCAATACCCCCATCCCCGTCCCAAACCCTCCAGTCAAGCCCGCCCAAATCAGTTCCACAGAGTGGCATGAAGCTGCTCCTCATGTATCGGCTTCGTCATGAGCCCGTCCATGCCCACCTCGTCTCCTCATTCCAACCACGCCCATGACTATACCCCAGCTAAAGAACCTCCCCTAAGCCCGGCCGAAGCAATTCCAGAGCGTGGCGTGCAGCTGCTCTTCATCAATGGGCTTCGGCACAAAGCCATCCATGCCCGCCTCCTCACAGCAAGCCCATACAGTCATCACACCCCCGGGCAGTCCAACCCCCCCCTCCCCCTCTCTCTAAGCCCGGCCGAAGCAGTTCCAGAGCGTGGCGTGCAGCTGCTCTTCATCAATGGGTTTCGGCACGAACCCATCCATGCCCGCCTCCTCACAGCGCGTGCGGCTGCCGCTGATGACGTCGGCTGTCATGGCCAGGATGGGGATTGCTGCCGCTCCGCTCTCCCTCTCCCTCCGCCGGATCGAGCGTGTTGTCTCGTAGCTGCAGATGACACGGGTGGGAGATGGAGATGGAGATGGAGATGTAAACCGAGTCAGAAGCTTGCACAATGCCCATTCTGGAGCTATTGCATACTCACCTTGATCCATCCATCCACACTCTACTCACCCATCCGCACCACGCTCAATCGCACTGCAGTCAACCGCACCGCACTCAACCGCACTGCACTCACCCGTCCATGCCGGGCATCTGCACGTCCATGAAGATGGCGTCAAACGGCTGCCCTCTCCCCTCAGCCTCCTGCACGGCCTGCAGCGCCGCCATGCCACTGTCCACCGCCTCGCACAGCACGCCGTAGCGCTGCAGCATGCGTGTCGCGACCTTCTGGTTCACCACGTTGTCATCCACCACCTGATGTGGCAGGAAGGGTTGGAGAGGGGTAGAGAGGGGTGGAGGGGGGTGAAGAGGGGGGCCGGTATGGTTGACTGTCCACCGCATCGCACAGCTCTCTGTAGCGCTGCAGCATGCGCGTTGCGTTGCCACCTTCTGATTCACCACGTTGTCATCCACCACCTGAGATGGGATGGGGAGAAGCGCGAAGAGGGGCAGCAGCGGCGGAGAGGTGGGTGGGGTCACACATGGCAAGGAGAGCCCAAGCACGCCACTACTCTCAATCCCAGGCCCCACCCAACGCCCCATGCGGCTGCTGCAAGTGAGAGCTTGCGTGGCCTGCAGTGAGTGTGTTACCTCATTAATGGAGGCACGCAACCCAACACCCACCTCTCACCTAAATCCCCCCAGCCACTCACGAGGATGCAGCGGCCGCCAATGAGGGCCGGCCTTCGGCGCTGCTGCTTAGACGGTGGCATGGCAAGCGCACCAATATCCCCCCATTCCTCCCCATTCCCCCCCATTCCCCCCCAATTCCCGTAACCACTCACGAGGATGCGGCGGCCGCCAATGAGGGCCTGCATGGCCTTGCGGCGCTGCTGCTTCTGCGTGTTGCTGCTGCGACTCGTGGTCATTATGCCCAGCACCTGGGGGTAAGGAGAGGGGGAGGAGGGGGGGGGGGGGGGGGTGGAGGGCAGAGAGTGCATGAAGAGGAGTGTGGAGAAAAACATGAGGGATTGGAATCAGCAATGGGGTAGCTGCTTCTGCGTGTTGCTGCTGCGACTCGTGGTGATTATGCACAGCACCTGGGGTGAGGGGATGCGAGAGGAGAGAGTGGGAATTGAAGGGGGGTCGGTTGGAGGGGCACAGATAGAGCCGAATAAACAGTGTTGCTGCTTGCTTCTGCATGTTGCTGTTGGAACTAGTGGACATTATGCCATCAGGTAACACCTCCCCCAGCTCTCACCTGCACGAGGCAGGCGGCCACAATGGACTTGCGCAGGGGCTTGAGCAGGCGCTCCTCAAAGCCGCAGGCCTCCACCTCGCCCTTCTCATCCGCCTCCAGCCGACACGCCACCAGAATCAGCGGCGGCTGCTTGCGCCCCTTCCTGCTGCCCCCACCAGCACCACCAGCACCACTGGCAGCACCCGCCACTGCCTCTCCACCCTCCTCCTGAATCGTCTCCCCTACGCCCCGCTCCCCCGCGCCCCTCTCCTCGGCGCCCTTCTCCGCGGCAGCAAACGCCTCTCGGATCGCCTTTGCCACCTGGAACCCCGTCTTGGGGCCAAAGGCGTCCTTATCCACAAAGATAGCATCCCACGGCCGAATGTCATCCTCAAATGTGGCTGACCCAGGCAGCGGCGGGCCCCGTAGGAACCCCCTGGTGGCAATCGCCGGCACAGATGCTGCGTCAGTGGCCGGAATCGGGGTAATCCCGAGGCGGGATAAGACGCTGCTCGCCACCCGCTGCCGAACCTGCAGGCCGTCCACCACCAGCACGGCTCGGTTGAGGAATTTCTCAATCATGGCAGCAGCATCAGGGTCGTCGTCCAGCATGGGGAGGAGGTCGGCGGGGAGGGAGGTGGGGACGGAGCGGGGGATGCGGGGCGGCATGAGGCCGAGGTTGACGGTGAGCACAAAGGTGGTGCCCACGCCTGGCTCGCTCACAAACGTCATGTCGCCCCCCATCAGCTTCACCAGGCGCTTTGAGATGGTGAGGCCGATGCCCGTGCCTCCGTGCGTACGCGCCGTGCTGCTCTCCGCCTGGGGGGGGAGCGGGGGTCGTGGGGGGTGGAGCGGGGATGGGGGCGGGTAAGGAGAGGAGGATGGAGAGATGCGGTGGGTGGAGGTGAGATGGAGTGAAAGCAAAGGAGATGTGCGCGTGAAACAGGATGTACATGTGTCAGGTGTCCTTCTGAGCATGGGGTAGTGCCAGTGGGATCTGTCTCCTGCACGACCAGCTATGTTACAGTTGTTTTGTGCATTCAGACCATGCACTTAGCACGCACGGACCTGAGTGAAGGGCTGGAAGATCTTGGACTGAGACGACAGCGGAATACCCGCCCCAGTATCCTCGCACGTGATGAGCAGCGTGATCGTATCCTCCCTCTTCTCCCTCTCCTTCTCCCCCTCCGCGCCCTCCCCCTCCCCCACCATTATCTCCTCCTCCCCGCCCTTCCCTCCCCCCTCCATCTCCTCCATCCCCCCGTCCTGAATCCCCACAGAAACCCCATCCTCCATCTGAGAATACCCCGGCTGGAGCAGAGCAGGGAAGCAGCCCACCAGGTCGCCTGTTCCGCAGCTAGGCTGCCCCATACCCGCCCCCGCCGTCCCCCCCGGCCCGCACACCAGCGACGTCGGGCGGCCGGACAGCGTCTGGTAACCGCGCGAGATGCTCCGGCCAATCGCGGCGAGCGACGCCGAGATCGGCCCGGTCTGACGCAGCGGGGAGCACGCCAGCTGGACCTCCGCGGAGTGCAGCCCCCAGCCGTCGCCAGCTGTCAGCTTGCGATTGGCCATCGCGAGGGAGGCGGGCGGGGCGGAGGCGGCGAGAGTGTTGAAGCGCGAGCGGAGGGTGAGGGGCGAGGGGAGGGAGGAGGGGACAGGCATGGCGGCGAAGGGCGCAGAGATGTGCACGAAGATGTGGCCGCGCTGGGTGAACTTGATGCTGTTGCCGATGAGATTCACCACCACCTGGCGCAGCCGAATGCGATCCCCCACCACCACCTCCGGCACGTTGGGGTCCACCAGTGCCGCCACTGGTGGGAGGGGGGATTGGAAGAGGAGAAAAGAAGGGAGAAGGAGAGGAAGAAGGGGTGGTGAGTTGGTGG